CCAAGGTGAAGGATTCAATTGCCTTTATTATCCATTAAACGTCTTTGCCAAGCTTTTGAATTTTCATGACTGCCCCGCGGTCGAGAGAATCTCATCAGGAAGGGGGAAGGGGAACAGGGTCGTAATTGTTTTCGAGAATAGTTCTCACTGGGGAAAAATGTGGAAACTTAGGACGATGGTAGGGCTTGATAGGAAAGGGACGTCGTACCAGATTACGACATCTCGAGGAGGGGATCGTTCTGAAATAGCCATTTCACACATCGCGATGGGCACCTTGGCTTCACTCCCCGTGCTTCTCTAGCATTCGTACACTTACAACGAGCTTCAGTAGTGAAGATGTCGAAAGAAATTTTGTATTTCTTACCCAACTACTCGCCATTTCAGACTTCTCTCTCGTCATTTCGCGTACGGCGAAGATTTGCGGAATCTCTCGCAAGAAATACGTGACTACTATATTGCGAATCGTGAGGTGTTGTGGGTTTTCAGGATTATGTTGGTTCATCGAACACCTTAATTTTTTATATTATTTATAATATTTATGGAGAATTCTCTTGTCAGACATCAGAAGACTACGAAATGAAGATGTCGTCAATGTGCGAAATCGGTCGAATCATTAGAAAGCATAGGGTAGGTCTTAACCTTACTTGAGCACTCTTCCACGTTTACAGATCTAGGGCAGCCAGCTGTGAAAGTATAGCTGGTGGTGAAAAAACATATGGGACGCGGTATTTTCTTATCTTGCGCGTCCTGCAAAATGCTTAGTTTCTTTCACACTTTGCGTCAGCGTACTATCGATTTAGCGTATAGCAGCGTTTTCGCGGACAGTTTTATTCAAGCTCAGAATTGCCCGCGTAAACGATACTGTACGCTAAATCGATGCTTGCTTTCCTGTTCGTCGAGTGGACGCGAATAGAAATGGCTTGGCTCTCACCAACTACCTATGTTCCAGAACTTTGACCATGATGTGTACCTTTTGTTAACCGGTTCTGGTTTGTTATCGTTTTATTTAGAGATGGAAGTTCAAACTATTCCCTTCCGGTTCGACTGTTACAAGTCTGGCGTCAAAGGGATGTGATCTTGACGTTACAGTATGGATCCCCCATGCACGGAGATATTACGCAACTGACTCTGAGTAAGGTTATTTTTTGCATGCAAGAATAAATGTCAGTTTATACTGAACTTGGTGTCATGCGATCTTGGGTACTAGGGAATTGAAAATGCGTTCATACTTTGCGTCAGCGTCACTAGAGAACCAAGACGAGTTCGAGCGTACGCCAGCGCCAGCAACAAGAAAAGTATAGGTATCGACAAACGAACGCCGGCGGCTACCAGCGACTAGCAAAGTATGGATATCGTTCGCCGAAAGCGGCGTCTACCGCTACCGCAGCGTTTTCGGGTAGTTCTGTTCGAGGTTCTAAAGTGACTAAGTGCTGTACGCGTACGCTGACCCGAAGTATGAACGCAGCCTCGCTATGAAGTCTCGTGAATAAGTCTGCGCGTCGTCGCGATTGCTGCACTTGGGAACACAATACGGAATACTGTCAGTTCGAACCAGTTATTTCCAAATTTTGATCCCGAAAAGACATTTTCAGCAGATAGGATAAAAACTGAAAATCGAAGAAGGTATAATATGAGAGATCGAACGACTTCTGTTAGTCTTGAATAGAGCGATGGCACAGAAATTCATTTATTGCTTTCAAAACAGGTTTGCAAGTCAGTGTTAGGTTATCTCATTCAAAAATGTTGAGACATATAGACAAGTGGCAGCAAAGCAAAGGGATAGCTGACCCTGCCTACGCTCGAGCATAATGACTAGTTAACCAACTGATCACCAATGAATGTGAGATTTCCAGAGCCGCCTTCGACATCCTCAGAAATATCCGACATTTTCTGTTTACCGATGAAGAGATCAACTACAAGTTGCAATCTGTTCTGTATGTTGAAGCAAAGGTGAGGTTTCATTACTAAGACTGCGCTCACACTTTGCGGCAGCTTCACCACCGTTCCGAGCGTCCCGCAGTGTTAGTGACTGAGAAAGTATAGATATCGATCTAGCACCTACCAGCGTCTGTCGGTTTCTACCGCGTCTACTGGCGAACGACAGCGTCTAATAGCGTCATGAGGGCTAGGGAACTATAGTTATCATCTAGCGTTTGCCAGCGTGCACCAGGCGCCTGGGACAGAAAAGTGTGGCGCGATAGGAGGTAGCCAGCTGGGAGAGCATGGGGAGACAGGAGGGTAGCAGGCTGCTGTTGGAGAGTATGACGTGATACGAGGGTGGTAGCAGACAGCTGGTAAAGTATGGGGAGAAATGAAGGTGGCAGACTGCTGGTAGAGAGTATGGCGCGATAGGAGGGTACCAGCTCTGCTACCTACTTATCGTGCCATATTCTCCTTTTCCGAACGCTGGTAGACACAGGATGGCGCTCGCAGACGTTAGATCGATATCTATACTTTTCAATAGCTGACTCTGCTGGACCCTCAGAATGCTGGTGTGCTTTTGGTCGTTGGTGGATTTGCCGCAAAGTAGGAATGCAGATATCCGTATTTTCACGTATTCAGCCCATTTCAGGTACCAGTTTTGAAAGTTAAATGGAAGAAAGGATTAGAAATCGATCTGAGTTGCATTACGGAAGACTATGTTTCGGGAATTCATAACAGTTACCTTATCCGTGGATTTTCCTTGTAAGCTTTCCATAACAGTTTTGCAGCAAACTTTGCAATCATTGCAAGCAATAAGGAATTTTTGTATAGAAGAATCTTGATATACCTAATCGCGTGTCTGATTGTTTATCCTCAAATCTTGTATTATCTGAAGAGCTACTTGGGGAATTTGAGCTAGGTATTGCATGAGAAAGGCGTGGGCTAAGATGTACGGACCACACATTACTAGGATAACCCCCATCCGGAGTGGGCGGGGCGTGCGCAGAAAGTGAACACTACAAATGCAGAAATCCGCAACTCATTTGCAAATCAGCTCAGAAACCGTGGAAAAGAGGGTGAAGGTCAACAAGGTAAGCTGGTGGAATGAGGGGGACCCACCCGAGGTGGGCGGGCGTGCTCTGTATGGACGGCTTTTGTTCCGAAATTCCTACTCGGTCTTGAAAGAGTTTGAATATTGGAAAAAATCATCGGAAAATGTGAATGTCCAAAGGGAACTCAGGGTGTCTGAGGTGTAGCGAGACCCAGACACAATGGGCAGAGCTTGTCCTTAAATGTGAGGTATTTTTTCCGTATTCGTTTCCAGAGCGGCTCAGGAACCGGGTGAAGAGTATTGTAGGTGGTGAGTGTAGGTTGTCATGGCATGAGATGAGAGAAACGCAGTGGCGTTGGGCGGAGTATGAGCAATGGTAGACAGAGGCGAAATCAAAAATACGAGAATTGGTTACAACAGCAAAATTGAGCCAGCAGATGGCAAATGAGATGCAAGTTTGAGCTGTATAGGGTCATACGCAATCGAACATTGTTGTTTTGAATTATTTTTGTGCAGAGAGTCGTAACGTTAGGGGAGGGGACGTGTGTAGAGTTGGAGGTGTTCCAAGTCCATAGAATCATGGAATATCGATCGGTATTGCTCTAAAACACCGGTCTCGTCACCATCTGACGCCGATGCTTTTTCTTCCGTGGTACAGCTCGGTTTGTCATGCGGCTTTGCCGCACACTTCTGTCAGTGAGTTGAAATGCCCAGTTGAAACCGAGCATTATTCTCACCTATACGGGTAGCCAGCTTCCTTTATCTTTAACCATCACACCTGTTAGAGTCAACACTTTACCCTGCATCTCATGTTGGTTAGAAACGTTGACTAAAGGCACGCTCCGTGTTCATTTGACATTCAGAGGCCTTCTTTGGTCAAGGTAGTCCTGTCCGCAAGCACAGAGGGTATAGCGCTTTCGCAGCGCAAAAAAGGAAGGCTACTGCGCGACCCCGCCCCGCTCACTGCTTAGTGCAACTCCAAGCTTCATTTATAAAGGCTTTCAGATGATGCTCATAACACATTTTGGTTCGGCATGGGGTTCTGTACGACATTGCAGACGATCTCCTTCCTGCTTCTTTCTTCATAAACTGAATACCTACTACCTTTCCGTGAGAATTTGAGCCACACAGTTCACCATTTTGGACGCCGGGCGTGCCCTTAAATGCACAGATGGAAGGAAAACGTAGCATTGACTGGATAGCTCAAGTCAGATCGGAGAGGAGGGCGCGGTCAAGATACATGAGCTCGGTGAAGCCGGTAGTATCATAGAAGGAGGAGCACCGGCGTCAACGACTATCCGGCTGGTTTTTATATAAGGGGAACGCTCATTTTTCGCTGCAGTCAGTTGCTATCGTTGAGCGTAGTCCTGAAAATTTTTCAAGCACTCCTAAACAGTTGATCTTTAGGTGGGATGAAAGATTTGCTCCGCTGTGCATGCTAGTGAAAGATTGGGCAAGTCGGAACGATGTGAAGAATGCAAAGCACGGAGGATTCAACAGGTTCTCATTAGTGATTAACTTATAATCTGATAACAGAGAGAAGTACCTGGATCGTTAGACATCTAAAGTTAGTGTTATACTTTTTTATTGTTTTTTTTTTTTTTTTTTTTTTTTGTTTTTTTTTTTATTTTTTTTTTTTTTTTTTTTTTGACTTTGGAAGCTTTTCCTCGAATGCAGGTAATGACTCTAACAAGGGAAGGATACCGAACTTCGTCCTGCGCCATTCGAATGACGGATGATATACTTCCTAGGAGCTCTCCCGGATGCCTATATCATGATTCCCCCCCCCCCGACTTCCTAACCTGCCTCTAAACGATTCTGGGGTCGGAAGAGTTTACGGACCTTTTTGAGACCTCTTAAGACATCTTTGCGACCTGTCCACCATAGTTGGAAATGTTCTGCCGGACTCTGGTGCTATCACACCTAGTGAAAGAATTCGGGTCTTGCGATATTGTTTGATCACTATCCCGCAAAGAAAAGAAGATTGCAGAGAGTTTCTATCCTATTGTGCGCGACGCACTGTACTACAACCGTATAATCGACTGCGAGGGAGATAGCTTCGTGGAGGACGAACATACGGATCCTTTCTGGGCATCTGAAGATAACGATGAATCCCTTCAGAGCATCTAGATTTGAACAATTTCTTTCTTAATCCTGGTATTCAGCAGGTTACCTTGACACTCATCCAGACGAGTTCGAGAGTTCTCTCCAATATTGCATTACATATCATCTGGAGGGAATCTGTGAGATAATGGTTGCAGCGAAATTCTTTTTATTCGCAGCTCACACTGTGAAGAACTTTTTTGCTCTAACCATTTTGTATTGGGATATCACACTGTGCTCGCTTAAAGGCACAACCTGCGATAAATCGCAATCACAGATAGTGCATTGGGGGTTCGGGCTACTAGACGACAATGTGCTGTGTAACTCGGTAATGAAAAAAAGGCAGAAAAAACTCGTCACCCGCCTTACAATTAGATAGAACCCATTTCAAGCCACTTCGTTTTGTACGTGCCCAGTGAGCTCCATCTCCTACACTACGCCTTGCGTCGCACACAGTGCTTTTATTTACTATAGAAGCTTCTACGTACCTTCACAAGCTGAGTTACACCTTTTCCATGGCTTTTTCTCGTCTCTGCCGCTTCGTTTCTTCATTGCGATGACGGGGTTTGAACGCGGAGTCTGAGAGACCGAGCCACTGGTTAAAAGGATGTTCCTTTTTGAGCCTATATCTGGCGTTACAGCACCCCTCTCACCCTTCAACAAATTTTCGCCGTAAACCAGTACAAGGTTGTTCCTTGCGGACCACTACCCTCGCGACACCATATTTCCAACTTTATTCCTGATCGTGGACCAGCTGCTTTGTATGTTCCATTAAATACGAAAATATATGCCTCGAATGAAGCTGTCACGCCAACACCATCAAAATGAATGCTTTCACTGAAGTTAAAATAAAACCCCTGAAAAGTCGCACATAGGCCCTAATAAGAAGCAGGGAGGGTCTTGGTGGTCGGACAGGTACGCAAAACTACTTCCCAAGTGTTTAGCATGCGTTTCAAGAAAAAGCAAAACTACGAAATGCATCAAGGATTTGAACCTCCGTCTCACTACTATGAAGCCATCCACTTACCTGCTGCGCCATCGAGCCACGGCGGCAGCTGGGTCACGAGGGGTTTACGAGCGCAAAGCATGGGCAGGGGGGCCGCACCGCAGGGTGCAATGGTTAAGCACGGTAGCAAAAAAAGGTCCGTAACTCTGCACCCAGAATCGTTTAGCAGATTTGGAAGTCAGATCTGATATCAGTATCCGGAGACGCTCCTAGGAATATACATCTCATTCTGAATGGCCAGGACGAGTTGGTATCCTTCCCTGTGTAAGGCCCTCTGCAAGACGTTTTTATTCGAGTTTATTTACTTACCACAAGTATTGTTTTAAAGAGTTTGGCTGCTTGCAGTTACGCGATGGTTCTCCTCGTCGTTCACTTTCTCCAATGTGGCGTCTTTCCTCCAGTTTTACCCAATTTGCAAGAACTTTTTCCGAGTGAGTTGTTCTTTGAGAGTGGTTTCACTTCCCTTTTTGACATGCTCAAAGTCTCAACCAGGCTACAGCGTCGTCGTTGTCGTGAAACACATAAGGGGTCGTATATGGTCGTGTTAGAGATGAGAGCGGGCGGTATGTTTTGGTTTCAAGAGAAATAATTGAGAAAAAATTTTTTCCTGTCGATGGGTGTTTCATAGGTCCCTTACCCCACCCCACCTTCCCCCTCTCAACAGCAAAATTTTTGAGGAAAAGTAGGAGAATTCTCGGGACATTCAGGAAAAAGTGGTAGGAAGTTGGGGAGAATCTGAGAAATTTTCCCGTTTCACATTAGCTGTGTAGCCCTCCCCTCCCCGCTTGGCGGAAACTTTTACGTACCGAGACCCCCTTTTAGGGGGAGGGGGGCTGACATTACCATTTCACACATCACGATGCTGTACCCTGTTACGAAACCCTGTATGCTTTTCAGGAAAGTATGCGCGAAACTGTGACGGCGACATCAGATTGCCTAAAGTATTAGATTTTGATGATAGGAGCTTCCCCGATAACTATCCAGGTAGATATTTCTCGAGTTTCTGCCAGTTATATTGATCTTATTTTGGATTTCTATAGCCTAAGTTCACTACTTTCTGTTAATATTTAAAGTGATGGAGAAATGTGCTATGTCACTTGCGGAGCTGTTTCTGCGGTTTCTCGACTACTACAGCAGATTCGATTTTGGTCATCACTATATCTGCATGCGTGATGCTGCGGTGAGATGGAGGTCGGTGCTATGTTGTAGTATTTCAGATTTTAGTAAGTTCATCATGAAATTGGGGCGGAGGTTGTGTGGTGCCAAGCATCACGCTTACTACAGGCGCGGAAATAAAATCCAAAATCCAGTATCGTCTCCCGCCGATCCCACCAAGCCTTTACCCTCTGGCAACGGTAAATTGGTACCAGATTCGTTTGGGAAGGATCAGAACAGTGACATGTACATCTCCTGGCCCCCACAAGTCATGGCATGGGCCATATCGCGCCCGATAATCCAGTCGGTTCTTGCGTGCCGCATCCCACAAAGGGATTCAGGAGCGAAGACTTTATTTTTCTACCCTTATCCTTCTATGTTGATCCACTAGAATCCTCTAGTATAGTTGGTAAGTTAGTAATAAGTCGAATCTGAGAGGCTTGTTGTTTTTGTTCGTGGTATATGAAATTCTCTGATTCGCTCCGTTTTTTTTTCTTACTCCGGCTTCCTATTCAGAGCACAGATTTCCAGTTCCAGGTTTTTTTCTTCATTACCTACCCTAATTGTGAATTGAAGTTCTTCTTCACACTGCTTCTTTTGTCTAAGAAGCAGCGCAGTGCGCTTTCTGCATACCGTATGCCACAGCGTATACTTCGGAATACATCAGTAACACTGCCATTCAGGGATGGTCGAGATGGATCGACAAGAGTCAACGATGGCATAGTTGTCTTCATTCGTGATCCTATTGATGACCACAACCCAGGCAGGACTGTTCGAGATGTGGAGTATCTGCAGAACAAGATGAGGTAATTTTGGTGTAGTTAAGCTTGTTTAAGGACAAACTGTTCGCTCACGCCTAAGAACGTCTATGCGAGAAGAACGGGTTGGCAGCTATACGAGGGTAGGAATGCGTTGAGACTTCCTAATGATGCCTGTCGACGAGCTACGACATGCTAGCTGCAGTCGCTTATCGCTACCTAGTTTTAGCTTATCTTTACCTCTTATTCAACACAGTTTATCGTATTAGTTTCTGTTCCTATTTTCGCAGTGCTTGAATCACAAACTTGCTGTTCATACTTCGACGCTTTAATATCCATGTTGTTCCCACATCATTCTTGTCCCCGATTTCCACATTGATCCATAGTCCCGCAGGAAACACGCAGCAGGAATGTAGTTGTTGGGGAAAGGGGGGCTCGTACCGAGACCCTCTTCTAGGTGGGGAGAGGGTCGTATCAACACCACCATTTCACGCATCACGATGATGTACCCTGGCTGCAGATCCACCCACCTCGCATATAGAGGAACCTGCATGTTTGAGATCTCAGGGTCACTGGGGTCTCTACAACACAACTTGGTCCATAAGGTTGAATGATGAAAGAAACAGTCATGAACCACCAGCCCCGCTCCGAGCTGACATGATTACGGTAGGCGTTCTTGAGCCCGATGGCGACGAGGGATGGTTCACCTCGTGACCTACAAGGCTGAGGTGGAGTGCTTGCTACTGCTAATCGAAGAATTTCTTAAAAATTCTACCATGGGTATTTCACATACCTTGTCACCCTGTGCGAGGTGAATTGACCATGCAGTCCACGGAGGAAAAGTGTTTTTCATTACCCGTATGTATAGTAAAAGATAGAAAACAGGCAAATAAAACATACCCTGGAAATATATTTGATTGATTTCCAGCAGTACCGATAGATAATGTATTTTGTATGATTGCTATGATTTTAGGAGAACTCTTCGGTTATTCCAAACGAAAAAGTTTCCAACGCTAGCACAGATCCTCGAAAATCATTGACAAGCGTGTTGTACAGTGCATGTGCATGTGGACGTTTTCTGCTGTTTTGGGCACTTTCGCAACTTCACTTTAATAGCGAGTATGATGGCGCTGTTTCACTGAGAAGTTCTTTCCTTCTATGGCGCCTTTTATATTGATCTTTATTCGAATTCCGTCAAGAGCAAAAACAGGCTCCCAAAATATTTATTGCACAAGAGCTCAAATCTCTCTAGGCTCAGGGACAGCACTATATAAAGACTTTCCTTGTGACATCTTGGAACGGTTTCATTGAATCCCTTCTGGTGACCATAGCTCGAACTTTACTACGTTCCCTTACCATATTTTTTTCTGTCGTTCCGGTTA